TTTTGGTGCCTCCCTGATTCTGGTAGTTTTGTATAAGAACTACAAAAACGATCTACTGGTAAACGGAAGGAATAGTCTTTCCGGTTTAGAACTGGGTCGACTGTCAAGTGATGCATAGGCTCCAGGCCTCTGGTTATTGTCACAAAGCATTGGAATGAAGATTGCGCCCAGGAGCCACCTAGGTTAGGAGACAAATGCTGTAACATCATTGTAAGAGGCCGTACTGAGAAGGCTGAAACAGAACTAAAAGTGAATCTTGTACTAAAACATCGAGAAAGAATTTGAATCTTCTAATGGCAATGACGGGAATGATATGCATCTGTACGTCCGTGATAGTATGTGTGCCTTTTAAAAGGGATGTTTGGCGAGTGTGATAGCTGAGAAGATTTTCCGGGATGCCAAACAATTATCTCTATCGATGTCAGGGATGATGCTATTCCGCGACGTTTCCTGTAAAATACCTATTTTCCAGACCCTTGGGGGGTGGGGGGGGGCACCCAGGTCTGTAAATGTAAATGGCCTAAATATATATACTTTTGATTTGGACTGCATGTTCGCCACTGTTCTATATTTCCCGTGGGTTTTGCATTGTCTTCCTCGATTTTCATTCGTTCTTATACCCTTTCTTACGTATGTTATAATATTGTCTTGGGTTTGCACTGCCCATTTTGCGAGTAGAGCTATGTTTGATTTCTCATCGTACGGCCAAAATGTTGCGGAACTTCGCGGAGAAGCATGGACCACGATTCTGGGGAGAAAACAATTTAGATTTTGAGAGGTCACATGACCACTGTTCACACAAAAAAGCGGGTATTATTTATTGACAATAGGTGGGAGCAAACTTGCGCTGTTTTAAGATAAATGAGCAACCAAAGGCGGATTTACGGAACTTGAGATAGAACTTTTCACAATGCCGCAGTACATTGTAGGAAACATATTTGGATATAGAAGTTACAAAATCGTGGAGTTTACCCTAAAAAGGTCCATTTAATGATTGGAAAATTATGACCCGATAGCAATTGTTGATGTTGGGGCGCTTCATGTTTGAGCCATGCCATATGGATGAGGTGGAGTTTCACGCGCCCCCGCGCGAGTCAAAAAGCAAGCGCTGGCTTTCGATCCGCCCCTTCTCAAGTTATTCATATAAATTATTTAGAAATTAAATTCTATTATATATTGTAATGACATATCTTATCTTGCTGAGTTGGGGTCGCAACCTTTGAAAAAGGGGTCAGGAGCATTGCGAGACTTCTCAATCGCAGGATTTGGAACAGATGCCATATACCTGCCACAAGCGCATAGAACAGTTAATTCAATCACTGGGAATTCCAGGATCCTAAATTGGAGGTAACCATATAAGGCCATATTTTGTGGGGATATTCCCTTACATAGGCCTTATATAGGCCTTATATATGGTAGGTACCTCCAATTTAGGTTCCTGAAATGGCCATTGATTCAACTTTTGGAACAGCACTATTTCAGCATTTGAAGAGGTTTTTGAATTCGTTTTCCTTCTGCGTCCCACCCTTTTTGTCGCCCCTTCTTGCGTAGTTGCCATAATATAATTAGATTTACAAATAAATGAAACATAAAACTTTGTTTTCTGTTAAATTTATTTATTAAAATCATGCAATGATTTTAACAAATAAATATCATCTAATTATATATGGATGATGAGTATAGAAGATACATTGAGGATATTGATATTGTCAAAGATAGATTTGTTGATGATGCTAAATTCCCAGTTGTCGGAAATAACAAAGTTATAATCTGCTGTAAATACTCACTTGAAATACTTAAAATTGTGATTTATAATGTAAAACACTATATAGATGTCAAAAAAGAAAAGCAGTAAGTTTAAGAAAGAACCAATACCTGAGGATTATGAATTATCAGATGATGAACCAGCAATGATAAAATTGAATGAAGAACAAAAATTAACGAACAAAAATATTGTATTTGATTGTCCTGTATGTAAGTGTAAGTTGCAGTTGAGGAATGAAAAAGAAATCAACCCCAAAGCAATAAAATGTTCTTGTCATCCTTGCTCATTTAAAATTACAAAAAATGATCAAACTATGAATGTAAGTAAAGATGATGGGGGAGGAATTACGCTGGATACAGAAGACCATAGTATCTCGTTCAGTTGGAATAGACAAGTCACCCCAGAAGACCAGAAAGTAGAAAGCACAAATAAAATGTTTACTGATGTTATGGGAACTCCACGCAGTGATAGAAAACAGTTGAGAATAAATGATATGGACTGAAATTGCATTTTACAAAACTATTTAAAGAGTAGATTTAAACGCACTTTGAACTGATAAATAAATATTTAACTTAATATTTATTTGCTCTAAATTATTTATATATAGTTTTCATGACTTCAAGTAGTGGAGATGAAAAACCCAGTGATATGAAAGAGATGATGGATAAATTCACTAAATATGCTAAACAAGTAAAATTAGTTTTGGCAAAGTTAGAAGACATTGATAAGAAAATTGATAATGTGGTTAAACCTGTTAATGCTGATGAGGAAAAAGAAAAGATGGATAAAATCTTTGAAAAGCGCCAAGTAGGCAGACCCCGCGGGTCGTATTCTGAAAAGCAAAAACAATATCTGAAAATGCTTAATGAGGAAAAAGTGAAGATGCCCAAAAGTCAAACTCTGGAATATTATAGAATTGTAAAAGATGGAGATGAATATAAACTACTTGATTGACACTAAAATTAATCTGGTTTCAAAAAGGTATATAAAGAAATATGAACATTGAATAGTAGGTCAGTATGGTAATTTCAAAGTGTGAGCATGGTACTGTAAAAGGCAATATCATTGTAAAGATTGTGGTGGTAAAGGTATATGTGAGCATGGTAAAGTAAAAATCCAGATGTAAAGAATGTGGAGGAAGTCAAATATGTGAGCATAACAAAAGGAAAGACCAATGTAGAGATTGCGGAGGTGGAATTTGCGAGCGTGGTAAGAAGAAATATACTTGTGTTGATTGTGGTGGTAGTGGAATATTTCAGCATGGAAAATATGAAAAAACATGTGTAAAGATTGTGATGGTAGTTCTTTGTGTGATCATGGAAGGAGAAAAGACAGGTGTAATGAGTGCGATGGTGCTGGGATGTGTGAACATGGAAGAAGAAAAACCTGTTGTAAAGATTGCGGTGGAAGTCAGATATGTGAGCATGGAAAGAGAAAAGACCTTTGTAAAGATTGTGGAGGAAGTCAGATATGTGAGCATGATAAAGTAAAATCTCAATGTTGGAAGTGTGAAGACAACCTATGTGAGCACAGACGCTTAAAAAAAGTGTGTAAAGAATGTGGTGGAAATCAAATTTGCAATCATGGTAAAAGGAAAACTTATTGTGGAGAATGTGGTGGTTCTGCCATTTGTATATCAAAAGCGACCATAGGTTGTAAAACAATTGGTAATAGAAAACTGAATGGTTATTGTAGTCATTGCTTCGTAAATTTATTCCCGGATGACCCCAGAGCATTGACCGTCAAGAGAAAATCAAAAGAGATACAAGTGATGACATATATATATATATTCTAAATATGATGGGTTTAAAAATGATAAACCTTTTTATGTAGATTTAGAAGGTGGATGCTGTGAAACAAAAAGAAGGATTGATTTAAGAAAATTAATTGGCAATACTATGTTATGTATAGAAGTGGGTGAGAACCAACATAAACGCTATATCAAAGAAAATGAAAGAAATAGATATGATGATTTATTTATAGACTTTTCAGGTAAGTATATTTTCATAAGATATAATCCTGATAAATATATTGATAAATTTGGTAAATCCAAAAATCCAATGTTTGATACAAGAATGGAAGTATTGGAAAAGCCAATAGATAAACATTTGGATAGAATAAAAAATGAAGAGAATAAAGAACTGGTTGAAATACACCATTTATTTTATGATGAAAATTAGTGATTTAGTTTTATAATATTATTTTCTACAATAATATTATGAAATTACTTGAATTATATTGTAGTAAAAGTGTAGTAGAAAAGGATGCCAAAGATAAAGGCATATTTGTGATGAGCATTGATTTAAGTGAAAACTATGAATACAAAATATTTCCAACAGGATATTTTCATATTTCATACGCATCACCAAAAACAAAAGAATTGTTTGTAAAAACAGTTGGGGTAATTGACAAGATAAAACCTAAACACTGGTTCATTGATTTTATCAATAAAAATGTCATTGAAAAACTGAGTTTGGAAAATGCGATGAACTATGAATTCAAAATGGCAGGTAGGAAAAAGATGTTGATTTGGTCCAACCTTAAAAATTGGAAAAGGGTAGGTGATTGTAAATTTTATGTTGAGGATTTGTTGGATGCTGTTAATGTTGTTTATTTTAGTAACAATCCTCCTCGCAGGATGCTAAAATCCCCTTTACAGGATGCTAAAATCCTCCCCGCAGGATGCTAAAATCCCCTTTACAGGATGCTAAAATCCTCCCCACAGGATGCTAAAATCCCCTCCATGTGTTTTGAAATCCCCTCCAAATGAGCATTGCCCCCTCCTAATGGGTGCTGTTCCCCTCCTAATGGGTGCTGTTCCCCTCCTAATGGGATGCCCTTAAAAAATGTATTGGTTAGAAGAGAGGGTCATTTTCCAGAATGGACGGGGTCATTTTCCAAAATGAGATGGGTCATTTTCCAGAATGAGATGGGTCATTTCCCAAAATGCTGAGGTCATTTTCCAGAATGAGATGGGTCATGTCCGAAAATGCTGAAAATGCTGAGGTCATTTTCCAAAAATGAGATGGGTAATTTTCCAAAATCTGTCAGAGGTACAGTTTCAAATCTGTCAGGGTACAGTTTCAAAACTGTGAGGGTACAGATTTGCCTGTTTCAATTGAAAAATGATGTAAAACCTCAAAATCTGGGAGCGTACACTAACTAACACCACTGTAATCATTTGTAATCATCATATCTTGGGGATGCGGGATCTTGTTGTCACTAAGACAACCAGGTCGTGACTTTGGGCTCCGTGGTTGCTGCCTGCGGACACGGCCAGCAGTTAACCGCCGCCTTGGACGTTTGGTTTCTTGGACGGTCCAAAAAAAGATGCCGAACAAATACTCTTTCCAGGACGGTATCGATGATGTTTTCCCGGAGGGTTTCCAGATTTCCAAGTTGTCTACCCTCTGGTAAACTAACATAGCTATTGAAAATGGCTATTTATAGTTGATTTACCCATTAAAAATGGAAATTTCCCATAGTTATGTTAGTTTACCAGAGGGTATCTTTTTGGGGGCTTGCTAGGCTTGCTATTTGCTAAAATGCCTATAGGACCTATGAAGCAATACATCCAACATCATCCAACTGGTAACGTGGCAGGAACTCCCTGACCTAAATGGAGGTTATATTATATTATATATATACCTGGGTAAATTATAACGACCTCACTGCGACCTCACTGGAAATCATGGTTAATTAGTAAGGGAAATCATCCCCAAATGGCCTTAAATCAGGTTAGTGAAATATTATAATTTACCCAGATATATATGATGGGGAAATCATCTATCAATGGTATATATGTTCCATTGCCATGTTTCATTGCCAGTAAATCAAACCGGGGAACTCCTGCATCAAGTGACCCCATGATTAGCAAAGTTGGTTTATAACTAGTATAACTTGGGGTTTCTGGGGGATATATCATGATATAGCAATAGCGATATAGTGGATGTTAATGGGGATCATAGACTGAGGGGCACCTCATTGTAGCTGATGTACTTATAGTTCACGCCTTGTAAGCAGCTTGGCAGAACTGGCCATGCTAAGGCATGAGTTGAAAGACGTGCGGTCGCTTGAACCAGGCGACTTGGTCAGGACTTAGATGGCAGGGGTCAAAACAGTAACAGCGCCTCAAAAACTGGGAGATCATAGGTGGAGGTGGCTGATGTGGCTGTAAAGCTGAGAAAAATCAAGCTTCCGGACCTTGTTCTTCGGGGGTGGCACAATCTTTGTGGATTTATTGACTGGATGCTTGACCTTTTCAAAGGGCATCGTGCAGCCTCTAAGCTAATCATGTCGTGGCTTGAAGGCTGGTGTTCACTTAAGAGAGTATTAGCTGGGGTATGCTGGGGTATCCACTGGTAATCTAATTACAAGAGTAACAGTTTGCCATTAAAAATGCCGCAAGATATCATTACTTGTTGCAGGTAAATCATTAAAAACTAAACAGGCAATTTTCCTCAGTTGTTGGATCATGTTGGATCGACATCAAAGCTAAGCATTCAGGCTTTGTCTCGAAATCTGGAAGCCCCAAAATTCCATGGTGATCGTCAAAATCTATTCGAAATAGTTTTAGATCCCATGACAATCCATGAAACCTCAGTCAATCCCCATTGAATGACCAGATCCTCATTGAAATCTTCATTGGAAATCCCTATATCTCCCCCTAAAAAAGTCCCAAATTAGAATAAACAATCCTATACCCTCTGGTAAATAAACATAGACCCTGAAAATCACCAATTTTTAATGGAAACTAGTCTTCCAACCCCTATCTGCCAGGGTCTATGTTAATTTACCTGAGGGTAATATATACATATAAATCATCAGTATATATCACATATATATATATATATCTTCCCTAGAATTCCCTATAAGAATCCTATACTAGTAATATATATATATATAGATATATACCCTCTGGTTATTTAACATAGCCATGGAAAATGGCCCATTTATATTTACCTATTAAAAATGGGTGGATCTTTCCATGGCTTTAGTCATAACCAGAGGGTATTATTAATGTCAACCCTGGATATTGGGTATAATAACACCAACTGACTAATATTTTTCAGAGGGGTTGAAACCACCAACCAGTATATAATACATCTGGGTAAATTATAACGACCTCACTGTTCTCCCTCACTGGGAATCATGGTTAATAAGGAAAATCATCCCCAAATGATCGAACTATTCAGGTTAGTGAAATATTATAATTTACCCAGATATATATGATGGGGAAATCATCTATCAATGGTATATATGTTCCATTGCCATGTTTCATTGCCAGTAAATCAAACCGGGGAACTCCTGCATCAAGTGACCCCATGATTAGCAAAGTTGGTTTATAACTAGTATAACTTGGGGTTTCTGAGAAACCACCAACCAGTATATAATACATAAATATCCCTCTAAATCATCAGTATATCCCCATGATCTCCGACATGATATCCGGAGCTCTCCGAGTCTCCAAGGCCATGAAGCGTGGTGTGCCTTGGTCACGTGCTGTGAACGCTGTGGCAATTGGCAGATGGCGCTGCAGAAGATGGAGGAATCCAGCGACTTGAAAAAGTTCAGGGGAATTCATAGGGATTTCATAGCAATTTATAGGGATTTTGGAGTATTTTATGGTGATTTTATAGTAATTAATATGTTTTTTTTTGGGGTAATTGATACGGACTTTATAGCATTTTTTAAATGATTTTATTTATATAGATTCTATGATAATTTATAGAGGTTCTGTAGTATGTTTCATGGATTTTATGGTAATTTATAGGGATTTATATATAGAGGATCTATGGATATTATGGGGGATTTAACAGGGATGTGATGAGATATTACCATCTGGTAACCTTTGTTTTCTACGAAAAATTCCCCACTTTGAATGGGTAAAATCATCTATGTGGAGCTGAGCGTTTCACTACTTCGTTATATCAAGTTCAAAACCACATTACTCTCTGGTAAACATACAAAAAACTATGGAACATCACCATTTTTAATGGGTAATTCAACTAGAAACTTCCATTTTCAATAGCTTTTTGTATGTTTACCAGAGGGTAACCACTTTTTTTTGGTGCACCATGAGGCTTACGGAATCCCATCATCCTCAGCAGCGCCATGGGCGCCTGTGTGACTGCCCAGGATGCCAGGGGAATGGGTTTTTGACCTATCGTGGCAACTGGAAATACCCTATAATTGTATCATATGATATGATATGGATATGATATGGATATATGATGATATGATATGATATGGATATGATATGGATATATGATGATATGATATGATATCCCTAATTTTTGGTTGTTAGATGTTGTTAGGTGTACATCATGTACATCCCTACTTATAAAGATCTAACTTTCCATAATTGTAAGTAGATGTCCTTTTTTTCAATGGTAAAATCATCAAAGTGAAATGGAGGATTCAGCACAGCACCAGGATGATCCCAATTGATCGACTTGAAGATGTTAAGTTGAAAAGAAAAAAATCACGGGACGCCTTATCATTTGGTATTCACCATGGTTTCCTATAAAAAATGCTCAACATCAACCCATTTAGCTAACCATGAGTCCATGAGCATTACTTGATTTGCCCCACGGCGGCTTGCTCTCGCCACACTTCACAAATCAATGAAGTTCACTTCAGTCATCAGCGATGAGTAAATTGAGCCACCACTAACTTTGCTAACATCAACTCATGATAAATCACCATTTTTGTTTGTGAAGCTCCCATTTTGGGATTAAAAAACGCATGTAAATAGATGTTCAATCTGAGGCAGCACTAAGTTATATAGAGAATTCATGGATAACAAACCATAGTGGATGGTTTTAATGACCTCATTGCGACGTCAGTGGAATGATGATTAGGCATTGGGGGAATCATCCCCTGATGCCCGCAAATTTGAGCTATTTGCAGGTTAGTGAATTGTTATACCTACCCTCTGGTAAACATACCAAAAGCTATTGAAAATTGCCATTTATAGTTGATTTACCCATTAAAAATGGTGATGTTCCATAGTTATGTTAGTTTACCAGAGGGTAGTTCAGCCAGACAGACTGTAATGGATAACAAACCATACTCTATGTCCCTATTGATCCAAGTACCTCGCTGGAAAGTGTTTCGGATATAATTTGGGACTTCAAGCAATAGATGTTTAGGAACTATAATTGGTAAGTTATTGTAGGAATTAGATATAGTTACTATTACTAAACACTAATTAGTTAGTATAATGCTAGTTACTATATAGCTTTGGCTAGACTCTTGGAGATGGCGATGGATAGAGATATATATCTATATAGTTGGCGCAGGGCCCATGAGCATATCTATTTGGCTCCAACAATGACTCTAAACAGTAACCATTTTATACAGTAATAGTTTCGCCAATACTATTACTATAAACCATTGCTATTTCTATGTGTAACCAATATCACCCAACCATTACAGTAATTGTTATAGTAATGGCTCCAGCTATCTTCGCCACGATTAATAGATGGTTTCTATCAGCCATTTTTGGTAAAATTGTGACGCTTTACTCCTGCTTTACTATTGCTTTACCACCCAACTGATACATAATTATCTAAACATCTTCAATACTGGAAGATAAATGGATAACCATATGTATATAATATTATATATATATCTAGTAATATACATCCAACTTCCGATGTTTTCCCATTTTGAAGGCCATTCTGGTTCCCCTTCGTATCGCGGGTTTGTGCTTCGTTGCAGGAGTGGCAGCGTGCCTTGCAGCTCTTCCACTCTGCACAGCACCCGGACCTGGTTCTCTTCGGCGCTGCGCTGCGGGCCTGGGAGGTTCGCCATGGCGGAAAGATCCGGAAAGCCATGGAATTTTTGGATTTTCATGGCCATGAAACAATGGGAAACCATGATTTTTGCATGGAAAAAAGGGATGTTCCATGAAATGCTGTAAAACATGTGTATATATATAATATATACAATATATATATACCAATATATGTATACATTTGTGTGTATGCCGAACCGGTTAGTTCCAACATCGTAGTACAAAGCCATTTTTTGACAGTTCAATCCGTGTGTCCAACTGTTAGATCATGTGAAAAATCTACGTTGTGTGATGGTTAAATCAGAGAAATCCCAACGGCAGGTGAAATCCTGCATGGCCAGGTAATTGCCAATTCTGTGCTGGAAAATTCTCAAATTTTATGGTTACCCTCCAGTAATCAAGCAGAGAAATTGAAACTCCCTGATGTAAATTGGAGGTTAAACGCAGGTTATACCCTCTGGTAAACATACAAAAAGCTATTGAAAATTGCCATTTATAGTGGATTTTCCCATTAAACATAGTGATTTTCCATAGCTATGTTAGTTTACCAGAGGGTAGCTGGAAAGATCAACCACACATGGAGGTTTTAATTAATGGCTATGAATGGATGTTTCTAGCTCGCTGGGAATGTGAACTACCAATGGTGGATTTTCCTGCCGCAATGTTACCAGAGGGTATTAACCCATTAACATCCCGAGTTGTCTGTTGCTGAAAACCCCCTATGAATCATAGTAAAATCCCATGAATTCCCATGATCATGCCATAAATCATAAAAACTTTTAACCATCCAAAATCGCCATGAAATCCCATGATTTTCCCAACCATTGGAAACTGGTGCAGGATTTTGCAACCATCCACAGCAACTCTATTTTTGTTTCATGTTTTTCATGATTTTCCAATGGTTTTCATGGGAATTTCCCTGGGATTTTCCGGGGATTCACAGACCTTTCCCCGAAAAACACGGGACCCCAGGCCTCGTCCCAATGGGCCTCGGCGCTGCACGTCCTCGGCGACGTGGTTTCCCAGCGGCTGACGCCCAACGTCATCCTGCGATCGGCGGCGATCAGTGCCTGTGAGAAGGTGCGGAGTGGAGCTGAGGCTACGCTAATAACATGGGAATACCGGAAATCATATAGTAATAATGAGTGTTATAATGAAAGATATGGTTTATTGATGTTTATCCATATCATGTTTATGATCATATCATGATAATGATTATATATGATTATTGTGTTTGGAATTATTACGGGCAAACCCCTCAGTTTGCCCGCGCCGACGCCGTTTTATTACTAGATGATTACTATATATGTTTCTGATATTATTGCTCTTGTTATTAATGATTGTTATGATTGTTTTGGTTGTTATGATTGCTATCATGAATGTTGGTATTGCTATACTTTGCTTTGGTTATTTTGATTCATACGTTATTCTTATTATCGTGATTACTATGATTATTGTGAACGGGCAACCACTTTGGACGCCCTAGCACAAAATCATAAAATGATTATTAAATTAGTGTTACTATAACCATATGTTAATATGATAATATTATGATATTATCATGATTATTATCATGATATTATCATGTTATATGATTATTATCATGGTTATCAACATAATATATATATATATTATAACCATGTCCATTTGTTGATTAATATTTCTACCCTGGGACCCGACCCCCGGTGATCAAACATGGCCTAACCCGGACGGTGGAATGTTTTGGATCGGAAAAAAGGCCTTGAGACCCGTCCAGGCGGTATTTTTTTTAGGGGAATGGCGTATATTAATAGGTGGAATGGTATCTTTTAATAGGGGAATGGTATCTTAATGTCTTACTGTTATTGTTATTTGAATGTCATCTTCATTTCATTCATGATTTTTTCCTGCATGAAAGACATGAAAGGGGAGTCCCTTGCTGCTTGAATAGTAAACCGATCATTCGTTCTCTGTGTGCCAAATGATTGTTATTGTGATTGTCACGATTATCCGCATCTGCAGCCGCAAAACAATGTAATTGATGCTGATTAGATGGTGATTATACATGAATGCTTCACAATGCGTCAAGATGCTTGACTCCCGAGAGCATGGACAGAAAAATGAACTATTTTTTCCTCATGTTTTTTCATGTTTAAGCACCATTGGATGGTGAATCAAGATATATCAGATACGTGGTAAAGGTATGACATGGTTTTATTACACACTACTTAATTCCTTAGAATGCGGTGTAATCTTGTGCGATAACTTGTGTACAAAAGATGTTCAAGAGTTGTGCCAAACCTCAAAACCATCCTAACAAATGCCAACAACGGGTGGACACATCCCAACATATTCAATATGGGAGTTGCGCTTTCCTCAAAAAATATGCTTACATAGGAAACATAGATGATGGGCCGCCCCAGGAGAGCCAGTGGGAAAGTGCAATGAGCATCTTCAGGGCCATGTCGCTTGCCTGGGTGAAGGGCTAGATAAAGGTGCCGTTGTTTTTCCTCATGTGATACCCCCTGGTAAACTAACATAGCTATTGAAAATGGCCATTTATAGTGGATTTTCCCATTAAAAATTGTGATTTTCCGTAGTTATGTTAGTTGACCAGAGGGTAGGCGTATGTTACGGTGTCCTCATTATGATATGATCATGATTGTCATGATATCATTACTGTGATCATCACTATCCTACTACATATTATCATCATTTATTACCAAGTTTGATCATCAGGATAGGTATTACTTAGCTGATTTATGGAGGCAATGATCACCTACTACAATGGCTGAGTATTATTATGATTTACCCAGTTGTTTAGCAGGGTGGCCAAGATTGGCTCCGACAACTGAAGACCAGGTGGGGGTCCATTTCTGTTGGGGATGGATCAAAAGCCAGCTTCGTCAAAAAACCATATATTATGTTGGACGACTCTACCAGGGTTTCGACATGGATGTTGTATCTCAAAATCTGTCTAGAATGAATTGAAAAATTGGTTCGAAGAAGAACCTCTCCCCACCTTGACTCACACCGTTCTAGTGATGTTTGTGGCGACTGCAACATGATGCAACAACAAAATGGTCACATTCTGTCACCAGAACTGAGGTCACTGGACGAGTTGCGCCCTGATGCGGTGGCCTACAGTGCTACCATGAGTGCTTGCGAAAAAGCCTGGCAGTGGCAACAGGTCCTGTTGCTTCTGACGGACACTTGGAAAATGGGGGTTGGATGGGGTTCCTTTGGTGGGGACAACGCAATTGAAAGTTATCATTTGACCATGTGTGGCTGGCCGTTTCAAATCATCCTCCGGTGGCTTGGAAGTTGTTTCCCAGAGAATGCCCAAGAAAGATTATAGTGAGATCATAGAGATCCGTTAGAGTTCAATAGTTGTGCTCCGGCGAGTGCTTGAGATGATTTGAGATGGTCAAGGACTAGCTTGGGCACACACAGTGGATGGAAGAAATCCTGCACCAGTTATCATCATTTGATAGGTGGATTTATCCCATTATTTCTAGGGTCTCCAGCAAGCATCCAAGCTTTTGGTGGTGCAGGATTTCTTCCATCCACAGTATCAGTATATCATGTCCAAATATGGTTACCGCACTGGTCTGGCATCCTTGACAAATCACGGTTGGCCCAGTGAGGAAATGAAGTGCAATGAAATCGTTCTGAACAGCTTCTGCCACCCGGACTTGATAAGCCATGTGCATTGCCGAAAGAATTGAGTGTTCCGCCAGTTTCTTGACATTTTTTCCCGGCCAAATCAATTTCTGTTTTATCACTGAGCCTGCTTGCTCAAAGGATCTTCATGTTGCTCACTTATATAGTTGACCTTAGTTGTTTACAATGGAAAATCATGGAAAATCCTAAGAAATGGCATCGCCAAGCTGACGCTCCACCACGGATGATTCCTGTGATTGGCCCTGGAGCTGGAATCCCTTGAAATCACCTAAAGTTCTTGGGTCTCTGAGTCTCCGGCAGTTCATCATCGTCTTTTTCAAAAAGATTCTTCAAAGGATCACCATTCATTTCCACGTACTTATTTCATGTTCATTATCAACTATTATAATAAGTATGTAATAAGTATATAATAAGTATATAAATGTATATAAATGTATAAATGGTATACTTTGATAGTTTCCACTTGTTTCTCTCATCACAGAACATCACCCCAGCTCTTCCAGCTCTCCCTGGCCCCCGTTGCCCCGGTTGGGCCAGGTTACAATGTTGCCATCTCGGCCTGTGCGGGGCGTGCCTTCGATGTGGCTCATGGCCTCTTCCAAGAAATGTTCGGAGCCCGGATGCGCATCCGGGGCGAGGAGAACTCATGGAGATTGGGATACTACCTGAGTAAGTTGCTATCCTGGATTTTGATATACATATTGACATATTGTATTTATAGATATGATATAATTATATATATATATATGTATACATATGTAGATTATCATATGTGTTTTTTGTTTTAATATGGTACTGATAACGTATTATTTGTTCATTTAGTCTGTTTTTTTATTATCATTCTTCTTAGTATGATTGATGTACTTACTTCAGTGCTTGCTTAACTCAACTTAGCTTAGCTTAATTTACTTACCTACCTACTTACGTTCTTACTCACTCACCTACTTATTTGCTTACTTATTTACTTGTTTTTGGTATAGTTACGCGCAAACACCCCGATTCGCCCACACCCCTTCTATGCTGTACACTTGGGGATATCAAACGTTAGACTTTACATTCAATTGGGAAGATCAACAAGGGTATTTAGGGAATACAAATTTCCCACCCCCGTTAAACTTTACATTCATTGAAGATCTTCAATAAGGGTTTAATTCTCCCACCCCCGTTAAACTTCTACATTCATTGAAGATCTTCAATAAGGGTTTAATTCTCCCACCCCCGTTAAACTTCTACATTCATTGAAGATCTTCAATAAGGGTTTAATTCTCCCACCCCCGTTAAACTTCTACATTCATTGAAGATCTTCAATAAGGGTTTAATTCTCCCACCCCCGTTAAACTTCTACATTCATTGAAGATCTTCAATAAGGGTTTAATTCTTCCACCCCCGTTAAACTTCTACATTCATTGAAGATCTTCAATAAGGGTATGATGATGATGATGATGATGATGATGATGATGATGTGTAAGAGAATCGCACAGGTCCCTATGCTGTGCGTGCCGATATACAACATGAAGTTAACCATGATGCAAAAAACTCTCATTTTTATCACGTTTTCAGCACATACGAAGATGGCCGCCGACAAGCGCGGGCAAATCGAGGTGTTTGCCCGTATAGTTATCTATTCATTATTTATTTTTATTTATCTACAGTATTCATTTATAGTTCATTTATTTGTTTCACATACACACATACATACACATATAAGCGCCCCGTTCGTTGATAATTAAATAACATTGGTGTTTTCATCTTACCCACTCAATAATTGGGATCCACATCCAGGTAGTGAGCTAAGCAACGAGGGCACCACTTTGTTGGTGACAAATCCCTGGCCGCCCGCATGTCCTCCTTGTAACGCATGTGATTCTTCATGTTGGTCATTTTTCATGGTACATCCCCAGTCAACATCTGATGCTAAGTCCACTGTTATACGTGAATTGTCAACATGTTTTCATATGCTCTGGAATGAAACTTGTCTTCATACCCTCTTCAGTGCCGTTAACATCCCATGTTTCTTTGTTAAATCCCATCCAATCCCATGAATTCCCATTAAACTCCCATAAAATCACCCAACTTCCCAGTAAAACAGCCAAGTCATTTCAGCCCTTTTGATGATCCAGGCATTCTCAGCAGATGCTGCCAGACATTGTGACCTACAGTGCCATGGTGACCTGTTGTGAGACGCCCAGCTAGAAACGAAGGGTATGGGTATGGGTTTTGGATGGTTTTGGTCACTTGGGCACCCCTCATTTTGGATGATTCGAGCATATTCAATATGACCAAAGAATTGCGGGTCCCGGCCTCAAGAATTGAGCCACTGCCACTGGCCTGACCAAAATGCTTGATTGCTGAACAGCATTGGGTTAACATCCCAAACTAGGCCAGGCAGTGATCCAGTTTGGTCATAATATGTCATAATGTTCGTCAGAGCATCAGGCCAAATGGCCCAGCCAAATGGCCCATTGTCAGGTCAAACGGGACAGATTTTTTCGATGGTCCCGTCAGGAAAAGTCACGACTGGCAGATGGCCCTGGTGTTCATGCAGCAAATAAAGGCGAGTCGCTTGCAGCCAAACATTGTTACCCGGTTGAATCAGGGGCTGTTGGAAAGGCAGGGACACCAACAGCACCTAGCACAGAAAGTGTTTGCACCTGAGATGTGGGATGTTAGGACAGCAATCTTCGATGTCAACATGTTATCATCACGTTGTCAGAGTTGGAAGACCTGTGAAAAGAGCGCATGGCTCATCCTGTGGGTGCAGTTCGAGTTCTAAGTGGGTAAGTAGAGTCAACAGATGTTAGCGGGGTCAACAGTATAGAATATAAACATATGTATGCACATAAATAAATATAACAGTTGATTATAAATAAATATATACATATATGCACATATGCAAATATAAATATGTATATATATTTATCATATGATCTCCCAATTTGCGATAATGTGTGGTAAAACTAACTATAACCCCATGCAGCTGTCGCCAGTGCCATGATTTTTTCATCGGCCTGCAGCATGGCGAGAAACGCGCCCCGAGGTGAGCTATGGTGCAGCCATCAGCGCCTGCGAAAACCGCATTGCATGGGAGCCAGCCTTGGCGTTGCTGGCGGATGCCAAGGAGGATCTGGACATCTTGATGCTTGGACAGCGTTGGGTGCAGGTGACTTGGAGTATAGGATGAGTATAGGATGTAAAGATATGTAACGGGTATAGATATAGGATAATGATTACTATAGGATGAGTATACGATGTATAGGCAGCTGATAATGGGCGAAGGTGTTCCATTCAATGTTTCTTTTGGTGGTGATCAACATGATTTTGCTTTTCCAGCAATCACTTTGAGCGGTCAGTCGCTGATGTGACTCATTGCCAAAGCAATGCAAGTGGTAGCGGGATCTTTACATCATTTTGCATCTACAAGTCAGTACGCATTTGTACCAATTTGTGTTTGTATACCAGCATTCATTCATGATCAGCCAGTCAAGCAAGAAGGTGCGGCCATGTTGGTGTTTTCACTTCCCCTCAGCAGGATAACAGGGTCGTCAGTTCCCCAGGTCTGTTTGTGCTGGTCCCAGGAACGAATTCATTTTCAGCGCAGTGATCAGTGCATGTGAGAAAAGCAGTCGCTGGCAACGGGCGGTTCTGCTTTTCGAGGACGGACGATGCCGAGTCCAACATGTATTTCGGTCGGCACATCTGCGCGAGAAGGGAGTGATGCCATCCTCTCGGTGAAATCTACCCTGTGGCTTTCAATTGCTGCGGCTTTTTGCAATCCCACCAATCCAATCCACAGTCGGACACAAGGGTCGCAGGTCAAAATGTGATGCCCGCAGTGTTTTCTTGACATAGAGACAGTGGAGACATGTGGAGACCATCAGGCCATCCTATGGTTGACATTTCCTGCAGGAAGCGAAGAGAGAAGACCATGCCTCCCTTTGGGTCTCACTGGCTTGTGCGTTGTGATAGCAGTGAAACTAACAACATGATCAAAATGGGTAGGAATAAGACAGATATGATACGAAGCAGATTGGCTATACACTTTCATTTTTTTCACAGACGTTGGTTTCCGAATTTCATATCCATCCGACATCATCCGATACTCAGGTCGATCCTATCCGATACTGGGCCGCCCACGGCAGGTGTATAACAGCCTGTGCAGTGCTTTTGAGAAGGGCCAGAAATGGCGAAACATTTTGGAGCTTCTCTCAGGCTCTGGCTCCGAACTGGGAAAAGCTAACAACGTCTTTATTTTGGGGGCCAAAAATGACAAGAAATGGAGAACAAAATGCTACTGAAAAAAGAACACAACATTATGTGTCATCATGTCATGTATGAATCATGATGAAGTATGATTAGATTAGTTTTAAAGAATTCGATCATATAATCACAAATTAAAACCTAGAATTGACATGAATTGAACAAATGAACAAAAAAAACATCCGTGCTTATAACACATATGACCACGTTGGCTCATTGAGAGTAACGGTGGTTACAGCCTCTGATGTAACCACGCTGGATCCCGAATATTGGATGCGCCAGGGCTCCAAATTTACACCCAATGTTGGACATTGATTTTTTTCCCATCTATATCCCTATCAAAGAATATGCGTAAAAATCCCTAGCCAATATCCATCAATATCCCCTATCAAGTATCCTGCCAGAAATCCTGGCTGAGAATTGGGATGATTTTCTCCCAAAGGTCGGTTTTTGATTGTTGGGATAGGATTCATCCGGCCCGATTGGACCAGGTATGCAACGGGACGCGGTCCTTCCGGAGACTTGGTAGACTTGGCCACGCTGTCTCAGACGAGCGCCAGATGTAGTAGTGATAACTCGACGAGAGGGCAATGGAGAGAGAGAGAGAGAGAGTTTGTATATATGTATATATATATGTAGATAGATATATAAGTTTTGGTTTTTGACTGGCAGTATTTCAAATTATGTTAGATATTGTTAGATATGTTGCATGTTGACATCTTTTTTAGCTTTAGAATCTTTTGTTTGGATGATTTGTCCAGTTCATTTGCACCTAAAGATGTGGAGGGAACACTCAGGAGGCATTTCTTCAGTGCCTTAATCATATAGTCATTTGAGAATGGCAGCGATAGTCGTCATTTTCTGGGGCCCCTTTCTGGTGACTTTTGGGATTTGGTAGGTTGATGAATTGGGACCAGATTAAGGTAGGGGATAGCCGATCGAACTTATTGATGTGATTGATAGTACATTGATGCGACCCAATGTGATCAGATTTACATTGAATTCACCTTTATCGATGGATTATACGTTCTTTGTATATATTGAATTATTAAATATAATTCAATATAATTCAATGTATTTCAATCATTAATACTTTAAATGTATATATGTTTTCTATACAAGTCTAATATATATATAATTATATATATATCTCTATCACACACCTTTATATATATATATATGATATATTCCACCAACAACACCTTCTGTCTTACCCGGTCTTGATGGGTCTTCCCCAACGCAAACGACCATGGTTTTCCAGGATTCGGTCACCTACAACGCGGTGCTGGCAGCACTGCGCCGCGCCACGGAGTGGCAAGGGGCCTTGGAAGTGCTCCAGCACTGTGAGGCCTGGTTGGATATGATTTGCCTCACTGAATTGATCCCATGGAGGTTTATGATATCCCGATATCCCATATAGTTCTGGATAGTGGATATGATTATGCCCATAAACCATCATACCCTCTGGTAAATAAACATAGACCCTGAAAATAGCCAATTTTTTAACGGAAACTAGTCTTCCAACCCCTATCTGCCAGGGTCTATGTTAATTTACCAGAGGGTAAATCTATCTATCCACAAGCCACATGGAGGTTTTTATGGAGGTTTTATAGCTTAAGATTGCCACATTTCTATGGCTCCACCAGGATGCGGATGCTATCGCCTTGGCTAACGCCATCGACGCCTGTGCCAGCGTCGCGTCCGCGGCTTCGAAGCTGCCGCGGCTCTGTCACTGGCTGGGGCGCTCCGTTGACTCCGAGCTGAGAAAAACCACCGAGCTGTGAACGCTGTGGTGGATTGAAGCTGAAGATGACATAGTACGACACTATCTGGTTGGTTTGGAATTTTGGAACATCTTTTATTTTCCATCATATATGGGATGTCATCTTTCCCAGTGACTTTCATATTTTTCAAGATAGTTATTGCACCACCAACCAGCTATGAACAATTGATACTCAGAATTCAGAAAGATTACAAATGATAGCAAAAAAGATGTTTACGGAGATTCAGCCAAAAAGAAATGGGGATTAAATGATTGAAGCAAAAAGAATGCTGGGATGATGATGATGATGATGATGATCATGATGATCATTATGATTATGGTTATGATTATGGTTATTGTTACAATTGTTACTATCATTATCATCATTGTTTCAGAACCTCATTGTTCCCGTTAGAAACCGGAACCGGCTGGCATTTTTTAGGTGCCGCAGCTTCGCTCGTTGGTGGAAAAGGAGCTGGAAAACGGCCCAAAGCCCAGTGCGATGTGTCACTGTGGGTATGATGATTGGATGATATTAGATGTGGGTAAAATGAATCAGAATCATCCCTAAATGGCCGCAAGTTTCCGGGTAATATTGTAATTTATCACAAATTATCCAGAAATTGATTGGATATGATTATATAATTATATAGTAAGGGGAATAAAAGAGAAGAAACCTAGCGGTTTACTGTTAGGGGGAAGGGATGAAGACCAACCAAAAATCAAATTGGATGACATTGGGGCTCCTTGGTAATTTGTCACATAGCCATGGAACATCGCCATGTTCAAGAGTACAAAAATCGAACAAAATGGGCAATTTTCAATAGATATGTGAGATTACCGGAGGGTAGTACCCTCTGGTTATGTCAAAATAGCTATTGAACATGACCATTTATAGTGGATTTTCCCATTGAAAATGGTGATTTTCCATAGTTTTTTGTATGTTTACCAGAGGGTAAGGGGAAGAACATCCCAAAACCTAGAAAGATGCCTTAATTCAGCTTGATGAACAATGTTGCAGCGAGCTGAGCGAGGTCGCCTTCAGATGATTCAAACGGAACTCATACTCGCGCTCGTTGATTCATAATGACCTTAGATACGAGATCTCCTAGAATACGATCTATCTATGATGAATCTATGAAAGGCTATGATTACATTCGAATATCCCAAAGTGTTAATATCCCTTAAATAACTAGAAATAACTATCATATTGTCATGGTGTTTCATAGCACTAGTGTTAATATCCCTTAAATAATCAACACATGTTGGTGACCGTTGCGGTAATAGCCTCTATGGGCTGCAGCCCATCACCGGGGTCACCGTCGGGTCACCCAGGTGCTGGTGAACGACTTGAACGCCTCGAGGCGAGCGATGGAAAATCACCACCAGTTTGAATGGGTAAATCATGGGCAAATCATGGGTCATTCATTTTCTACATGCTATGAATATCTATGAATTAAATTGAATTAATATCCATAAATCATGTTATGTTATGGTAAATCATGTGTAAATCATGTTTTTCTACTTTATGGACAAAATTTACCAAGAAGGGATCCAGACGCTATGGAATTCACTGACATCACTTTCTCGCCTGTCGATTTTGCTGGATATGAGGATCCTGATTCTTCGACAGAAAAACACAGAGAACATCCCCCAACTGTTTGAAACAAACCGGGCTTGCCACCTCTAGCGGCGAGCTTCGGGTAGATCTCCCAGAAGTGGTTGAAGAATGTGTTTTCAACCCATCGATGTTCCCCCCCAAAAAAAACCATAAAGTTCCGTGTTGATGGAGCCTGGTCCCGGAGCAAGGCCATGTTGGAACGGATGGGGCACGGCGAGGTCTTTCAAGAGGAATGTGAGGAGCGCTTAGAATGTCGCCAGGCTCTCCAGGTTAACTCCGAAAAAAATCGACTGAGGTTGGAAACCTATTTAAAAAAGTGGTGGGAAATGATTGTTCCATATAATGTCTTACATATTTTACATATACAATGTAATTACCCCAAATCCTGATGGTTCATCATCATTTCCAGCCTTTTTTTCAATGCCGTTTTGGGGGGGGGTTCCACCGTTTTTCAGATGCATCCTTTTTTTGGGCATCCAGATGTTTTGGTGTTTTGGGCCATCCCTGTGAGAGCAAATGTCTTCAAGGATGAAATACATAGGTTTTGGAGGGTTTTGGCTAGGATGGAAGAAAATGATACCCTCTGGTTATTTAACATAGCCATGGAAAATCACCATTTTTAATAGGTAAATCAACTATAAATGGCCATTTTCAATAGCTATGTTAAATTACCAGAGGGTAGGATGGAAGAACATGATAACGGACTGGCAGTTTGGAAAAATCTAAGCAGTCTGATAGTCGGATGTTTTGCTCGGATTCACAATATTCGGACACATTGCAGGTTTGATGTTCAACTTGCATTTGTGCACGTTGCGCTGGCTATAGTTACTATAGTGCACTCCCATGTATGTGTATACTAGTATGCCATAGTATACTATGCCCCAAGCGCTTTCACTGTAAAAATATGTGGGTAAAACAATTTCATAAACCATCCCCAGTCATCACCATTTTTATAGGTGGCATGTAGAAACTATTCCCATTTTTATGGTAAAGATTGCCTTATTTTGCCCACGAGTGTGTTCTTGGAGTTGCTTCACGGCCCATCAGGAGGGCAAACGCTATGTGCTGGGCTATGTTGAAGGTCGGCACATGTCGTTGGGATGTCACGTCGTTGAAAACCCCTATATTTGATGGCAAAAACATGTTAACAAAAGGTGGTTTCTTGAAGATTTCCCCCCAAAACTCATATCCATTGTGTGTGAAAAAATGGAGTTGACGGTAGTTTATTCCGAATCCTCAAAGATGGGATGATATGGATGATGAACTGAGTCGAGCAACATCGAGCAACATAATGTTACAGTGGATTTGAAGCACCCTCCGGGTTTGTTCCTATGCTCCATCCCCAAACATATTCGTACATAGACAGAGCTTCATCGGTCAGAATCAGAAATCAAGACCCAATATATAGCCCATATCCCTCGTGTGTGTGTGTGTTTCCCATATTTATTCTAGAATCATCTAGAATCGAAGCGTAGAATTTTGGGAACCACAACACTGGGACAGCATTGCAGATCTAAGGCTGACAACAAGCGGGAAAAGGGTGGGTATAGCCGGTATAGCCTGGAAAAAGGGTCAAGAAAACCAGTTACAAAATAGAAGGTCACAAGCTTACCCTCCGGAACTCAGACATAGCTGGAAGATCCTCAATTTACTTCGATGCTTTTGCCATCGAAACCTCCAGGAAACATTCGGGGGGATTTCCCAGCCATGTTGATCATGGGAGTTCGATCACTGCCTCGTGGCATGGGAAAAAGTGGCTTCGTGACAGTCAGTGTCCATGTTTTCTCCACAGTTCTGACTTCCCGTGGCACCATTCCACGGGGTGCCACACTACCAGGTTTGGAACCGTCCAAATCGGCGCTGGGAAGCTCGAGATTCTGTGATGATCGGGGAGCTGTGCAATTATTAAATATATAATTCTGGGGGTTTCCCGAAATAGGGGTATCCCTAAATCATCAATTTTAAATATAGGATTTTCCATGAAATAAACCATCCAGCGTTTTTGGGGTACCTCCATTTATGGAACCTCCATATATACATGTATATATATATGTGATTATATATGATTATATATGATTATATATGATCATATATATATATTTATATTATATTTGTGTGTGTGTGTTCTGGAAAGGGAAGAATCCCTTCGCCATTTTCCTATATTTTCCCTCCTATATTGAACAGCCACAAAGGATGCTGGGGACCATCGAATGGGTGTTTTGCCAAGCTGTTCACTCAGTATCTTTGGGTTTGGGTCTCTCTAGAAATGAGGCCATGCCCAAATTTATAGCAATGTTTCATCAGAAAAAACTTCATAGATCCACGGGACTTGGGGTTTTTGTGAGCACAAAAAAAAGAATCCATATTTCTTCATGCTCCCTGGCACGAAGACACATGCCTGGCACGTGCCCGGGGCTCCCGGGTAATCCCAGGTTCCACAATCCAAAGACATACCCGTGGAGTTGCGAATTGAACCTCGGATGTCAAGACGGGCTGCCGTTTTTGTGTTTGTTTTTTTGGATGATGATTTGGTATAATTAGATCTATGTTTATATGTTCTTTTTTTGGTATACATAGATCTATATGAAAGAAACTGGATCTGGATTTGGTATAAATAGATATGCTGGTGGTTTCAAGCCTTTGTGATTGTCCAAATTTGGGACGATGAGTAGCGATTAATTAAGTCCAAAGGATTACAAGCCTCAAAAGGTATGATTGCTGAGGATGAAGTGCATGTGTGTAGGGCACACCATTGGAAGCCAAAGGTGTTAAGCACACAGACCCACGGACACTTCTGAGCCTACGCCCGTGGTTTATTATCAGTTTCCCTTGAAAAATATGACACGCACGGGGCACCCAAATGTTTTTTGGACAAAACGGCTTTCGGGCAATAACAAAATCAACTTTTTCATGGTTAACTGGTAATTTATAGTGAGTTTTCCCATATTTTCCCATTAAAAATGGTGATTTTCCATAGTTTTTTGTATGTTTACCAGAGGTTACCCCCATGTTACCCCCATGTTTGATGAAATCCGCGAGGCAGAGGCACTGGATGGAGATCCAGAGCGAACTCCAGGGACACCTTGAGGGCGAGGCTGCTGCCCCAGTGAGACACCTGGAATGGTGATTTCTATTGGTTTCTCCAAAAAATGGGGACTTACATGAGAAGAATGGTGATTTTAATCATGTTTAATCCATTGATATCTAATTATATTTGAGTCACATGAGAATCTACTGAACTATAAAGGGCCGTTTAGAAACCTATGGTGACGTGGGGATTCACCCATTTCGAAAACCATCATGTTGGTTTCTTGGGATTCGATTTGTTGCTATGTTAGAGTGATCTTTTTCGATTTCGGCCATTTGGAGTTCAAATCCTCCATGTTTTTCAGAACATTTTTTCAGCAGTCAAAATCTGGGAGGCCCAACTTTTCAATTTGGAAGATTTGAGAGGATTTATATATACCGGTATGAGTTTCCTCTAGGATTTCAGGGGGGTTAACCATGGTTAACCCCCCTAAGGAGGGTTGGATTTATATAAAATTCCATGTTAATTATTCAACACGATGTGCCTCCCAGATACCATCAGATACCATAGAGATTCGACCGGCCCTTGATTCGTTTGGTCGAGGTGTGGGAACTTGGTCCCTATGCCGCCGGGGACCTTGATGGTGAAGAATTGGCCTTCACCAGCCAGAAGAAACATCAAGTTATACAAATCTACCATATATATATATATATATATATATGAGCAACCGTAAAAACCCCGGCAATACTAAATATGTATTCGACGGACATTGGTTTATGGAAATTGATGGAAATTGTTAAAAACACGAGGTAAGCGATGGGACCTTCCCAAATTAGCGATACCCCTTTTCAAGGTTATGTCATCATATTTCTCTAATATCCACATTAGCGATACCCAAATATCACATATTATTCATAGTTCATCACATATAATATATATATATATATAAATGCAGCAGTTTCCTGCAAGCGATACCCCCCAAGTTTACCATATATCATTATTGTACAAACGTGTGGTAAGCGATGGGACCTTCCCAAATTTGTGGATGTCCTTTCCGTGAACCTAGGGTTTTCACAATCGCTCATATATATTCATAATTATATATATTAAATTATGTATATAAATATATAATTAAATTATATGTATATATTTTTTTTATATGTGCATAATTATATCAAGTTATATCACATCCACATCTATATCTCACCCGAAATCGAGGCGCCGAACAAGCAGTATGCCCCCGAATGGAAGATCGCCAAAATCTTCACAGCCGACCACTGGGAGGATGGAGCCGGTTACCCGGAACTCAAAAACGCCATGGTTTGGGATCTTGAACATGCTGAACATGCTCATAGTTGTATGCAATCATGACAATAATTATTATTAATAATAATAATAATATATATATATATATATATATTTATTATTTTATATATTATATATATATTATACTATGATATATATATATATGATATCCATTTCATAGATTTTGGGGTCATCAGGGGTCATGTTCTTTCCCTCTGAACATGTCCACCTGGAGCTGTGACAGGACCGCTTCCCCACCACACAGCGTATCATACAGAGGCGCCTCGGTGTCCTGGGCAGGGCAAGTGATGACATATGGCAACTGGGCAACTGAGAAATACCCGGCCTGGTTATGACTGTTACAGTTCGCCATGGTTTGTTGATGGCCCTAATCGAAATAGATGGTTTACCGAACTTGAAAATGGTGAATCTTTCCATGGCTATGTAACAAATAACCAGATGTCAACATGGGCATACCATGTTTGAGAGCGTGGGGCATAGCTGGCATCCCTAATAATCCCTGCGAATCCCTTGGGAACGGAATGAAATCCGAAGGTCTTCGAACTGGTAGGCATTTATGTGTGTGTATTATATAATATGATTTAGTATGATTTAATATGATATAATATGATTTAATATGATATAGTATGATATAATATAATATACCCTCCGGTAAACTAACATGGCTATTGAAAATGACCATTTATAGTGGATTTTCCCATGAACAATGGTGGATCTTTCCATAGCTATGTTAGTCATTACCAGAGGGTAGTATAATATATGTATCTGTGCCATTTCTTCAGGCCCTCGCCTGAGTCGATATTGAATTTTTTCTGGGCTTAAAACCAGCCAGATGGGGATGGTGCAGATGGCGGCGGTGAATCCCTTAGCCAAGCTGTAAAAAATATGGACCTGAAAACTGAAAAATCATGGAACTGTGAGGGGAACAAGAAAAAGTAGTGAAGGGAAAAAGGGTTGTTCATGGTGGGGGAAAAAGGTGGGCTGACCTTCACCAAGCCTGGAAATTCAAGGGTGTGATTGGGGACTGGCAACCCTTTAAAAAAAGAAAGAAGTGACAGAGGCAGCCAGCATTGGACAACATTCTCCGACCACATGCGATACTTCGACCAGCATGGCATTTTCCGGTAGGCTTGGAAAAGGAAATGCAGAGAGAGGGATGGTGGGATTACCCTCTGGTTATTTAACATAGCCATGGAAAATGGCCCATTTATAGATGATTTTCCCATTAAAACCTTCATTTATAAGGGATTTTCCATGGCTATGTTAAATAACCAGATGGTATTTCTCACTGAAATCCTCCTGCTGAACTGTTCAACACCATCGTTGCTATGGGGCTATGGACCAACTTGTCGGTATCTTTTTTCCAACATATCTATCAGGTACATCCATATACACCATGGTTAGCCCAGTATGCCCGGTTATACACCAACTTACTGGTATAGTCATCCTGGAGTAGATAGAGAATATGATGGAAACGTATGGAAATGTACAACAATCCTCAGAGACATGGGAATATGTGTCAAAAGATCCCATATTTTATCTACTTTGGGATGCTCAAACCTATCCAGGGGGCCCATTGAAGGAATATGCGCCACTGTTTTGGCTCAGAGTGGAGGACCCCAACCGAGAACCCAAACCCCGGGGCCCCAAACGGGGCCCCGGGGCCGCCGGGGCCGCGGGCCCATGGCGGAATCCACGGAGGGTCCACTGTGGAACCACCTGAAGTGGGGAAACTTAGGGACATTGGGCGACTTGATATTCGCTCTGCCCAAATTACCCTCTGGTAAACTAACATCACTATGGAAAATCAACATGTTTAATCGGCAAATTATACATAAATGATCATAATTGGGGATTTTCAATAGCTATGTTAGTTTACCGAAGGGTAATGATCAACATAGTTGTAATTAATGATTGCACAAATTAATGATCAACACTGATCAACATACTGATGATAATTCATGATAAGAATGATCATCAACTTTCGAGTGGGGAGACTTTTTGTCATTTTTGTCTTGAAAATTGTGGAACATCCTCATTCCATCCAATGGTCAGCACTGGTTGGTCATCATTCACTGGTTGAGATGGCATGAGATGGCCATACTTGCGGGACTTCCCCCCTTTCACACACCTAGCAGGTCACCATTGATGGGGTATCAACCGCCCAGATCAACCGTGCAGCTGTTGGCTTTGTTCCAAGTCATCCATGACGTTCGGTGGTTGGGGGCGCCTAACGTCTTACGCTTTGATGGTGCGCGATACCATCTACAACGTCGTTCATTTCTGGGGTAAATCACATAGATCAACACGGAGCAGAAATGCTGCTAAGCTGCTAGAATCCCAGTGATCAAAAAATCGCAATGGTTGAAGCTGTGAAATATCACCAAAAGCGCCATGTTTGTTGTGACATTTGACCAGTGACAGTAGTTTCTTGGCACAAAAAATCTCGGCAATTTGGCAACTTGATCATAATTGGTTCAACAAAAATCACCTTGTGGCTTCGTTGAAATACTGTAAATCCATGTAAATCCCTAAATCTACTGGATCATACTATCATACTGGACGATGATCATTTTCCACATTTAACAAACAGAAATTTGAAGGTGCACCCATGTTCAGACATAGCGTGGGCCATGGTGGAATGTGCTTCATGTGGCCATGGAGCTTGGCAATTGCGGCACGGCTGTCATTAGAAAAAAACAATGTCTCAAAATGATGGCATATCAGGGTAGTTGCTAGTTTTCAGGTAGTTTCCTTCAAAGCATTCTTGGGTGCAACACTTTGAGACCGTTTCTTGATCTCCGGAAAAGATGTCTTTCATTGCATGACAACCGTTTCAACCTGAGGTGAATCTGCATGTGTGCAACTGGTGTAGGAGTGGGTCCAACCTTAAAATGACTTGAGCCAAGACTACGGATGCCATGTGTTGGTCATGGAGAGGAGATCACTGGCCCCAACTCTCAGATCTATCCGGGCCTTGTTTGGGTGATTTCTTCAGCCCTATTGTTATGATTCGTTCACCATTCTGCAATTCGGCTAAGAGGTGTTGGAGTTTTGGGGGAAGCCTCAATCGCATGTGAATTGCAGCAACCATCAGCAACCTTCACCTTCGGCAGCCCGTCTTTTCCAGCTTCCAGCAACCGGGGCGGCTTGTCCCCAGGTGCTCACCTTCCCTGCCATGGCAGCTATAGTCCCCAGCACCGACAGCTGTGAATCTTTGAGTGCGCCCGGGCGATGGGCCACGGAACAGCTGTGTGATGGGTTACGGGGCGATGATGGGTTTCAAGCTATACGGGGAAATGTCATCTATATTATCTGGTTGGTGGTTTGGAACATGAATTTTATTTTCCCATATCTTGGGAATAATCGTGCCAACTGACTAATATTTTTCAGAGGGGTTGAAACCACCAACCACGTATTATATATATAATATGTTGTCTACATTGAATTGTGCATCATTCTACATCATTCTCTTTATTAGATCTAATCTAAAAAGTCTGACTAAATTGGATGCCCACTTAAGAGCTGGGTATTTGAGACTAGTGATACCCGCAGCACCCGCGCTACACCCTACAGGTACTGCTTCACTATATACACTTTCAATGGTTTTTTCAGGGATCTTTCGGGTTCATTTAGGAATTCCTTAGGGGATAGCAGAGTCACCACGGAGGGTCATCAAAATGCTAAACATGGGCACAGTCTGGGCAAACCTTAGAGAGGCCCTAGCAGCCCTAGCCCTAGCAAAAAACAAATGCAAGAAAACCGCAAAGTACTGTAAGGGTCACAAAAAATGATGGTTCTGACAATCATCCCGCAACACTTTGAGGCATAGCACAAGTGCTGGCCGTAATGATAGCTAAGGGTTATATGCGAGAGAACTCAGATCCCACTTAGGGATACTTAGGGCCATTGCTTAACACACATCAATCAGGTTGCGCACCTTTGTCAGGTCGCATCCACACACGGTTTTCTGCAGTCATACTACCTCGAACACGAACATGTTCACCACGTCAGATATATTTAGTATTTTGCATATATATATATATATTATATAGGATATCGGATATACCTAGAGCCTCCGCGCACGCAGATTTCGGTCAGTGATCCAGATATCAAAGTGAAACCTAGATATATCAAAACAAATCTAAGCGGTCCTGACATGATACCAAGTTGGCGCTCTCTTTTTGAATGCTGGCGTTGTGAATTTTTGGTGCGCTCGCGGCGAAGGCGTTTCTAAGTGATTCAGGATTCTGGCACGCATCTAAGTGCTTCAGATTTTTATACAAATACAAATACATAGATATACCCTGGACTTCAACGTCTTTTTTTGAAATGGCTGTTGCCAAACGACCATTTCTTACGGATAACGGCCTTTTATGCTGCCATAGCCCTGCTGCTCAGGTGGATTATGCTGTAAATACATATGCATACACATACCAATACATAATATGCAGATTTGTATGTTTTTGGAATTTTGAAATCTGCATGATCTTCATGTGGGGCGAAGTAGAGTGGGCTAAGAGGAGTGGATGGTAGATTGAAGTAGATGTAAACCTGGGTGATAATTCGTATGTGCGGGGCCTTTTCTGCTGGAAATTTGGTTGATCTCTTCTTGAGGTCAACAGGAACGGCTACTTTGAAATCATGATGTCAGATTAAGATGCAGAGGTTACAGACATAAACATACATAGCTTTTATGGACCGAAACACTTCCTTAGAAGGTAGGTGAAATATGGTGAAATCCTAAATTATATCCCAAAGACTTTCTAAGAAGGTACTTGGATCCATAGGCCCATAGGGATATATTTGATGGTGCAGTGGATGGTTGCGAAATCCTGAGCCAGTTGATAGGTGATAAACAGCCCATTATAAAATTTCCTCCGATGTTGAAAGGTGGTGCGTTTTGGTCCCGGGCTGGTGAGCTATAGATCGGAAATCATCGGCCAAGTATGTGGTCCTCTTTCATTACAAAAATAAATAAAAATAATACATATAAGTGTTTTGAAATGTGTTCGACTTTGTTCCACATTCAGTGTAGTTTTTTTTTTCTCGACCTTGTTTTAGACCGCTCTTTGGAGCCCTGTTGGTTTGTTGCACCACCATTGGTTGATCTAATTAATGTGGTAAGCCGCCTCATAATTTCATCGCTAAAGAACCATGAATTTCTATGAATTTCTGAAGGGTAGATTTTGGGTTGCTCATGTTTCCTATTTTCCTGACCTACTACCCTCTGGTACACTATAGTCACTAGAACAGTTTGCATGTCCAAACATGGCCGTTGATTTCTGGTGAATTTACCCATGGATTTCTGGTGAATTTACCAATGGATTTCATCTCTTCCAGGCCACTGCTCGCCCTCAGAGTGTCCGGTGGTGGGAAATTCACCATGTGTTTTGGTCAAATTGGGGGGTGGAGCATGGCTACATTTGGTTGAAACAGAAGTTTATTTGTATGTATGTGATATATATATATATATACATATGTAATTGCATGTATAAGAAAACTATGTGTATGTATGTAATGTGATGTAATCTAATGTAATGTAATCTAATGTAATGTAGTCTAATCATGTCTAATCTAATCTAATCTAATCTAAATTAATGTAATGCAATGTAATGCAATGTAATGCAACGTAATCTAATCTAATGTAATGAAATCTCATGTAATGTAATGTAATGCAATGTAATGTCATGTAATGTGTGTTTGTTTAGTGTGTGTGTGTGCATTTTTATTTGCAATATAAGATTGCCAGCATGTCCAATCAACCAAAATTGGTTTTAGGTAAACCTACACGCATGAATGTTAAAATATGTTAAAATATGTTAAATCAGAATTGCCACATAGGTCGGTTGATGTTTCTGTACTGCAGCCCTCTTTTGTGCGGGTAAGTGCTAGCTGTTATTTGCGGGGTATTGGACACCAAATTATGGGGCAGATGATTTTCCTAAATGTTTATATGCAGCGGCGCCTTATAAATGGTCCTAAGTCCATCATGATGACCACGGTCCTAGATCGTCATTGTCCGCTGTAGATTGTAAAGGATTGCTGAATTACTGCTTGGAAGCCCCGTTTCAAAAGGTCATCCACAACTATTCACATCAAGAGGCACACATTCAGAAGGTTTCTTTGCGCCTTTGCATCTTTGCATAAGGCTCACACCTGCTTCGTGGTTTGATGTCCCTTTTTTGGCTAATGGCTTTTCCAGTAGAGCATCAATGAGTCAAGCTTCAACTGGCTGCAGCACTTGACGTAAATGGGCCATGACACATGAGATGTTCCAGGTAAACTGCTATATGCTCCATGGTGCTGGAAGATTAACCCACAGATTTGTGGCATTTTTGGGGCAAAACTTGGGTATATCTACATTATATTACCATTATTCCAATGGTATACCATAATTACATATGTTGGCTAATGTAATTATTCAACAATTACATGGAACATACGGGTAAATTGATGAGTTTGATTCATCGAATAAAGTGCATCAATCACATATCCATCCAAAATCATGCCCAGCACAATTTTTCAGCAACAGATGGGCGACCACAAGTATCAACACCTAAGTACATGAAGGAAGTACCACAAAAAAATCAACAGTACTATCTTATTTTCTCCTTGGGATGTTTGCCACAGAACATCAAAGCTTGAAAAGGTAATAGGACACCAAATAACGCATCCCAGCAACACCGACACAACCATGCGGGTGAAATCTGAGTGTTCACCCCACTGGGAGGCCAAATGTTTGTTGTTACTTGGCGGGCCCAGTTAGCACGTCTTCAATAAGCCTTTTTGCCAAGTTCTCGAACTTTTACATATCGTTTGGGTTTGTCTGAAAATGGCGGGTCCCCTCAATTCGATGGGAACCATCAGTATTTTCCCGAAAGCGAGCATTTTGCGGGTACCCTCTGGTAAACTAACATAGCTATGAGAAATGGACCGTAAAAATAGGTGATTTACTTATTCAAATAAGGATTTACCATAGCAAACTGTTAGTTTACCAGGGTACTCGCCCATTTTCAGACACGAAACCAGTTGCTCCCCATGACCGTCGTGGTGCCTCTAGGCACCTTCACCGATCCGGGCATTGATTGGACGGAGCTGATTGGAAGCGTCCCTGGCACCGCTTGTTGCTGTTGTTTTTGGCAACGAATCTCATGGAAGGCCATGGAAAATATGGTGAGTCCTGGAAAAGCATGGAAAATATACCGCTTATCTATGTGGGATTGAAGCCCCAGCAAGCGAAGATACACAAAGTTTTAGTTGGGCATTTGCATGTGTAGTATGTACTCGGCTGCTGGTGTTTCAATGTTTAGAAGATGTGTGACAGGCTGGATCCCTTAACAACTAATTTCAGTTGTTCCTGGCAACTTGCTAAGTGAGAAGTATTGGCCAATTGGACCCATTTGGACCCTTTAGATATCCTGACCCTCTAGTAATCAAAATTGGCAATGGGAAATTCCATGGGAAATTCCATGAAATTCCTGAACTAAATGGAGGTTTCGAGGCGAATATCGTCTATAAATGGTGGATTTTCCACATGTTTGATTCCCGGAGGCTAATTCAGCGTGGATGACCAATCCTTCAAGAGAAGTGGTTACAGCAATTACAGCAATGATGAATAGCAGGTGTGTAAGACGGGTAGAAATAATACCATGTGGGATTACATGGATTAATAACAGCAATTAATACCATGTGGGATTATACCATGTGGGATTAATTCCATGTAAAACATTCGATTTCAATCACAGGACTATTTCAATTTCAGCAATGAATTTCACTGGGGATTGATGAGGCTTGGTGATCAAGCTGGTCTCCACTTGCTGCTTAGGTTTCATGCAAGGCGTGCACACAGAGTTCTGATTCCAGGTGCTCAACGGCTGGCCTGCAAGAAGTCTCTTGTCTTTAGATATCTTTGGATCATGTTGGGTTTAGCTGGTTGTCTGGAGTAATTTTACAGTGTTTTTTTTTTTAAACCAAAACAGGACAATTTGCTATCATTTACTGTTCTCTCCTCCTTGTGGACGGTTACCAAAAGAATATTACACAAGGTGCCCTCCCATCGTAATTTTGTTTGTTGTTCATAAACTCCATGAATACCAGTTCGATATATCTACCAGGTAATCTACCATAAATCCTGGTAAGTGGAGTTCTCTATCACTTGGGGGCCCCACCTTGTATCCTGTTGAGTAATTTTGGATCTTGGATGGCCAAAGGATGGCCCTGGTACTGGTTTTTCCAATGGTCTTGAGTGGGGCTTCTGACATGAAACGGATCCATTTTGAAGGCGATAAAAGTTAATGAAGCCGGCTGATGTTGCTTTCACTGGCTGAGAGTGGTGGGACATGGCACCTATCTCATCTGAGAATCCAGTGATTCTAATGTTAGGAAATTCTGTATGAGAAA